TACAGTTTATAAACAAGAAGGCTGCCCAGAGAGATTCACGGAACTGCCCAAGATCACCTATCTAGTAAGATCTTCTTTTGACAAAAGATATATATCCGGGTTAAAATCCAGTCCTCTGATTTCCTAGGGCAATGAACTGAAATTTCCACTTGAGAGCAGAAAAGAACTCCAGTAAACTACAATCTAATTTAGTTCTTATCCTTACTCTTCTCAATCAAAAAGTACCACCACTTTCTTCACAAGAAATCCACGTGGTCACAGACGGAGACATTTCACAATGCAAATTAACCGAACTGTTTTATCATGTGCCATCCACCCTTTATAGAAACGGACTTTGACAGTGAAGACTCTTTGGTAAAAAGTAAGTGCATTTACCTGTACACTTGATTCCAACTTCTTCAGTCGTTTTCAGCAACGCATTTGAAGTGTGTCATCACTGTATTTTTAAATTACAGAATATCAAAGATACTTATATTTAAACATTCCATTCTCTGAGGGAAGAGGGACAAATTCTAACTAAAACAGTATATGGGTATTTTTGTGTGCTTCTGATTCTGAGGAAAACAACCCTATCACGTGGAACTTTCATCATATCTGGCATCTAAACTGGCTAGCTATTACACATAATTAATTGAAAACCTTCTCAACTGTTTATATACCATATCTCTTTTTAAAGTAACAAGATACGTCATGATCTTTCACTTAAAAAACTTCCTATATCCTGCCACAGAAAACAATGGATTACATTTACTCTGTTTTTTAAAAGCCATGAACCAACCAAAATAACGTAAGGCCATAAACAAGCTATTTAATAATCTGATAGTTACATTATTGTAACTGGCACATACTTCTAACTTGGCTGTGGTTATCAATTTTATTTGGTCTTATTCCAATTTGGTAACCAACTTGAGAAAAATAATTAACAATTAGAATTTTCAAGAAGAAAGGATTTTCCTTTCTCTTCAGTGATTTCAATATCTTAAGATATGACTATAAGGTTATGTATGAGAAGTCTTTTAAAATAAACATGCCAAAATGCATGCATCCAGAAACATAAAGTCCTTTAATTACTGATTACGTTTCTAAAAACTACTTACAAAGTCGTTATTTTGGCTTGAATGAGGGGGAAAGGAGGCTATTTTTTGTAAAGGCGCAAATTTCCTTCAACCTAGGACACAGACAAAATGAACCAGAGATACAGGAAGAAACCAGTAGAATTTCTATTAATATTTCTTCCCTCACCTTTCTAAGATGTCTATTTTTTCAAAGCGCTGTATAAGGTACAACAGTAGAACCTGTACAACTTGTAAATATATATACATATGTATCCTGAAGCTTTATACTTAAAAATATTTGTTACTGATGAGAGTCATCAGATAAAAAAATTGGGGTACAATTCTTCTTTCAAATAGACATAACTACTTTTTTTTTTTTTAAGTTTCTGACCACCCGAAGATCATTAAAACCGATCCCTTTGCTTTTATCTGAGAGAATGCTGACTCAATAATTTAATATGTAATCCTCATCAGAAATTCTGTGAGTCTACAAGCAGCAGCAAACACACAATCGTGGTAGTGAGAAGTATTAGGATACGCTAGAGTCAGAAAATCAGCAAAGGAAAGAATGACCCCAAGTTATCACAAATAAAATGCTAGATTTTGTTCAGCATGGGAATCTAAGATTTTAAATACTGAGATTCAAAATACTCTAGAACGTAAGAAAACAAAATGTTGAATCTAGGGAAACTTCAGAAAAAATGACTGAAGTTTTATAATTTCAAATGAAGATCACACTACAAAAGAATACATAAAAGTCAGATAGCTATGATCAAAAACTGGGGGGAGAAGATGTCATCATAAACAGTACACAAAGTAATCTAGACACTTGGCAAGAATACTTAATCAAAACATGATTCTCAAGTAAAAGATAACTGAACATAAAGGCCTCAGAAAATATTTAGGTAAGTTTCTTCTATACATTTTATTCTAAGGGGTACAGGCAGTTAAATGATTTAAAAAAAAAAAGGAAAAGAAAATGATGTAAGAATGAAAACTTTACGGTTTTGTTATTAAATATTTAAAAAGTAATGTAACAGACAGCTAAAATTACTAGTACAACTGGTAAGGAAAAAGATGAGAAAAAGAAAACAGTGATTTTAAAGTATTAAACAGATGAAAATTTGACCAGCAATACTAACGGACCTCATTTTAGAAAATAATATATAGTTTTTACAGTTGCATAGTTTATCACATAGGACACTAATTTGTCTTATATAAACTTAAAGCTTTGGACTAAAGGTATCCTGAGATGAATTATACATGTGATATATACATGAAAACTGTACTAAAAGTAATGCCAGTGGCCTATTAAGCATTTTAAATACAAAAATTAAAAGGTATAGAAACAAAAGTTCCAGAAGTTATGAACACAATGATGGGAATCTCTTACATCCCTAATATGGTCCCTTGCTGAGTAGGAGAGGTACAGAGAGGGGCGATCCTTGAGTTGGAAAGACTATAAAATCACAGTAAGTACACACTATACATGAGTCCTAGCAGGTTTGTGGCACTGATACATTATCACATCCAACTGGCTGTGGGGTTTGTCAGTTACTTATACTAGGCAGTAACTGGCTGAATTTTTCCATTTAGATGTCACTGTTTATGCATACACACTCAAATTTTATAAAGGCAATAAACTGAGAAGTAAAATTTGCTTCACAGAAATCAACATTATAGTCAATTCATTGTATAAATAATTCTCTTCCTTAAAAAGGGGGAGACAGTCATATTTTAAAAAGACTTTTTGAAAGTATGATACATACGCTGGTTTCAGAACAAAATCATTTATTTATGCTCCTAACTGGTCCTTTCCTATTTCTATCCTTGCCATGTCATCTGAATGACGGCAAATCCTGGGGTTCCTCTCCACTGGAATTTTTCCATCTGGTATTTTTATACCAAATAAACGTAAAGCACAAACTAACATAGTATCAGTTTTTAAGTATTCTTTGAAGCCTAGTAATGTAATAAGTAAGAAAAATGTATATACACTGCAATAAGGGCAGCTTTTTTTCATTTCACCATTCATTCACTTTTACAGGGCAAAAAGTATACCAGAAACTACATAAATGATGTTACAGCATGAAGGATCTCAAGATAAACTGGGAAAATGATACATGTGCCAGTTTGGTAAAGAGTAATTCATCAAAAGACAGAAAAATACAATGTGACTTGGGAAAAGGTCTATCAGTTAGAATATTCAAGTTGGAATGAAAAAGATTATAATCTGTTTGATAATGTTTATCAAGAAGCAATATATTAAAAATTTTAATGGAAAATGTGAATTCAAGTTTTAAAATTACTATTTGAGGGCAACATACTCTACACGCAGGAAAACACAAAAAATAAAACAAACAAATAAACTGAGGAAAACAAACCACTAGGATGACATATTGGAGGTGAAGATGATGCTGTAAACGTGAACCTCCAACATGAGTCACCACTGAGATTACTTGCCACAGATGGGATCGTTTGTCAAAAAGGAAAGGAACAAGCTACCTGACTGCGATCTTCGAAAATACACATTAAATTTTCACTTATGGTATGAAGCACGTTAGGTCAATTCATTTAATATAATCCTGAACTCAATTTTTCAGTTGTTTAAACAGTGTTAAATAACAGTATAGCACAACTACGGAAATGATAAATATTTAAGATTAAAATGTCGGTGGAAAACGTATTTCATACAGATCAAAAGGAAAGCCTTTGCTCACAAATACTCCTGAATAGGAAGCCAAAATAATCCCATTAGAACTTTACGAGAGAAGAGCCCCAAAAGTCCAGTCTGAAAGAGAAGAATAAATATACAAACTATGAAGCAAAACCAGGAATATAGAAGACTTTGAAACATCTACTTATATCCATTTTAATGAACAATTAAAGGATACAATGTGTTAAAGACATATTTAAAAGACTACTAGTGGGAAAAGACAGATGAGTCAAATTTTGTTTATATCCTAAATAATTACAAGAGACTTTGAAAATGTAGTGTAATTCATGTTTTCTTTCCAGTTTAAAAATTTCTATCCATTGCCTCTATCTTTGGTGTCACTGCCACCAAGAAACACAGTATACAGCTCAGAAATCTAATTTCTATCTTCAACTAGGAAAAAGTAAACCAACATTATTCCTTTAAAAATAAGATATAAAGAATGTGATCCTACTTAATTTTGTCTCATGGTCCCACAGTATCCTGAAATGTCATGCCGAAATGTCAAAGTGTAAAAGGGAACATCATTTGCTATAATTGCACCAAAAATTTAGCTCCTGTACGCTGGTGTGATGACAGCTAGTAGTACACAGAGGCTACAGAAAGACGTAAAATACGTATGTTTAGCTCACAAGTAGTCAAAGGAAGGTTCAGTTTAATGTGAAACTGGAACATGGACAGCATAATGCCTTCACGTAAATATGCTACAGCTTTGTTCTCTTGCAGTTTAAAGGGATAGTGTAATTACCTTAAATTTACACAAAACATTATGAAACATGGTAGTTGTTCATGATTAAAATAAAATAGCAATGTAAATTAATTTAACAGTGTTAAATATATTCACATGATCACCATTGTGATTCAAAATGGCCACTAATGAAGTCACACAGCAGTATATGTACATAACGTTTGCCACAACAGTGTTTTTAAGTTTGACTTTTTGCAGACCAGGCAATTTCATGAGACAAATAATCTTGTATCAATTCTTTCATATTATGAAAGGAATTAAATGTTGTAAGTAGTTTCATTCCTCTAGGGGGCGGGGGAAGGGAGAACCTCTAAAAAGTCAGTGCAAATTGAAGAGAGTTCTACCTTCTTGAATATTGGAACTTGTAGACCAAGATAGATTCCTATAAGCTGAGGATAAACAAACCTTAAGATATTAAAGAATCTCATAACATTGTCAGCGGCTTTTAGCAGGTATTTGCCACAAAGAGGAATCCCAAGTCCTATAGCAGAGCCTTCTGAGAATATGGTTGCTGTGGCTGAGGTGGCTGTTGACTGCCTCCGGGTTGAGGCAACGATGATGATGTTAAATTATAGTTTGGCACCTGGGACATATTAGTTCCTGCATTCTGGTATATAGTGACATCGGCAGTAGCAGCAGCAGCGGCAGGAGGAGGACTATATACTGAAGCCTGGTTGGGGTATGTATTTCCTTGAACAGAACTGACCATTGTGCTGTGGAGGGGGAAAAAACACTCGATTAGATCAATACTGACTTACACAGCCATGTAGATAAACAGGAAAGCTATTCGTTACACTTTCATTCATTCATTCATTCATTCAATCAATCCACTCCATAAATATTTATTAAACACCTCTAAGAGCCAAACACTGTTATTTTAGGCACTGGGATATCATAAAGAAAGAAGGAAAAAGAGCTTGGAGCTCATCATGAAGCTTAAATTCTAGTAGGAGAAAAAAGGTAATAAATTTATAATATGTCAAGTGGTAATAATGGGTATGAAGAAAAATAAAGCAAAGTAGGAGGACCAAGGGTACCTGGGACAAGAGATTCCAGTCTAGAACAGTGGTAGGGGAAGGCAACGTTTAAAAAGACAGCCAAATTATGGAAAGAGCCTAAATGTCCATCAACTGATGAATGGATAAAGAAGATGCGGTTTACATATACAATGGAATACTACTTGGCAATGAGAAAGAATGAAATCTGGCCATCTGTAGCAACATGGATGGAACTGGAGAGTGTGATGCTAAGTGAAATAAGCCATACAGAGAAAGACAGATACCATATGTTTTCACTCATATGTGGATCCTGAGAAACTCAACAGGAGACCAGTGGGGAGCGGAAGGGGGAAAAAAAAAGTTACAGAGAGGGAAGGAGGCAAACCATAAGAGACTCTTAAATACTGAAAACAAAGTGAGGGTTGATGGGGGGTGGGGGGAGGGGAAAGTGGGTGATGGGCACTGAGGAGGGCACCTGTTGGGATGAGCCCTGGGTGTTGTATAGAAACCAATTTGACAATAAATTTCATATAAAAAAATTAAAAAAAAACAAATAATAAATTAAAATAAATTAAAATAAATTAAAAAAAAATAAAAAGAGAGCTGAAAAAAGTGGGAGAGGGAGTCATACTGATTATCTAGGAGGGGAAAAGTGTACCAGGCAAAGTGAAGAGCAAATACAGAAGCCTTAGAGAAGAGAAAAATGCCAGCCATGTTCAAGGAACAGAGAGGAGGCCATGATGGAGGCAGAGTGAGCAAAGGGGAGAACAGTATAACATTAAGTGGCAGAAGGAAGGGCGAGGACAGCCTTTGAATACATAGTGCCTTAGAGACCACAGCAAGGATTCTGTTTGAGTGAGATGGTTGAGAAGGACTGGTTGGTTTGGACAGAAGAGTGATGTAATTTGACTTAGGTTTTAACAGACTCACTTTGCACCAATGATAGATACAAGGATACCTGAAAGGAGGCTGTCCATGTGAGAGATGAGAGTCAGCTAGAGCCATGGTGGACATGGTCAAGAGGGGAGGAAAGGGCGGATTTTGAAGGTAGTGCCATCAACATTTGCTAATGGGAAGTGGTCAAGAATGCCTGAGGTTTTAGAATGGAGTACCTGGTAGAGTGGCCGTTCACTGAAAGGAAGACTACAGATAAGCATCACAGTAGATTTGGGGAGGGAGAATCAAAGTACAGTTGTAAACACATCAAGTGAGAGACCTAGAAGATTCACAAAAGATAACAGATGGGTCTGGAGTCCAATGAGAGGTCAGGACTAGAAATACATCAAACAGTTATTGGCATACACAGCGTGTTCAGAATCACAGGCCTGAATGAGATCCCCTGGGGAGTGACTACTGAGAAATAAATCATTCACTCAACACTTAAGTGAATACTTCTTATTTGAACTCTAGACCTAGAAACAAGAAAGATAAAGAGGCACTAGGCAAAGAAGACTGAGGAGTGGCAATAAGGTGGAAGGAAAACGAAGAGAGAATGGTCCTGGCCAAGTGGAGACAGTATTTCAAAAAGGACGGGACCACTGGATCTGACAATACAGAAATCACCAGTGCTTGACAAGAGTAGTTCCAGGGCAGTGGGGGAGATGAAAGCTTAATACCCTTGTTTCCCTTACTTCCCTGGAAATATAGGAGCATTGAAAGAAGCCTTCGATCTACCCTGACCACAGTTAGTATCGGTACCATGCCACTGTCAGATTCAGCCTTCCCTCTCGCTGAAAACGATCAGTGTCAGTGCTCCCATCCAAGGCACCCTCCACTGTGCGTGGCTCCTAATCCACCAAAACATTCCTTCAAACTGTTTGCTGCCTCTGCTTCCTCTCTCCCCGTTCCCAACCTGCTATCTGAGTTTCAACTATGTGCAAGGCACTAGGTTAGCTATACAAAGAGAAATACTCAGGGCTTTAATACTGAGATTTCTTCCCCCACCCTTTCTATGAAAAATGTAAAACAATCTATGCACTGGGCAATTGCCCAAAATTTTCAAAATGTTGCCTATTTCTAAACTTTTCAATCGTTACACTGTTTACAAATCAGTCATTTGTAAATTCAATGCTCTTGTACTTGGCACAAATTAAACCAATTCATTATGATCACAGATAATCCGCTTACTGCCACGTTCCACCAACTAATGTAACCACTCAAGTAATGATTAAAGGCATTAACCTTTATCATCTATGTGTTGTGTTGTGAGATATAAAATACTGGAAGAAGTCAGATCTGATGTCATTACTTATATTAGTAAGGGTCACAATACCTGTACGATAAAATGTTGAGACTAAGTGGTAAGCTCTGGAGCCAAAATGCCTGGTTTTGTGTCCTATCTAAGTGGGACCTTAGTCTTACCCACCATGCCTCAGTCTCCTCATCTATAAAAGAGGGGTGACAGTGTACCTTCTTCATAGGTTATTAGAGTAAATGAGTTCACACATGTAAAGCATAAAGTACAGTGCCTGGTACTTACTGAAACTCCCCATAAATGCCAGCTATTACTGTAATCATTCCTGCTTTGTATTATATCCTTTGCCTCAATTTACAGTTCCACCATCCACCCAAGGGCAGATCCCAGCAATTCACCCAATACTTCCCTTTCATATCACTGCTCTGCCCTAGCTCCCTACCTTGTCACCCATATGCAATCATTTGTCAATCTCCTAAATAACTTTCCCCATCTCTTATCATTTTATCCTTTAGACAATCATTTTTTGTCTACTATATACAGTCACCCAGCTTCTTACCTAGCCCCTAAGAATTCATCTATATTATTGCCACTTGAAGCCCTTTAACGAGCTTTCCCACACAGGACCCAACCTCCTTAACATATCTAGGACCATTCATTGTCCTTGTCAGTAACTCCAAGCCTATCTCTCCCCTGTCCGACCAGAGTTGAATCCTTTAGAAAAACTGTACTATTTGATAATGCTTAAAATGTACCACACGTTTTTATAACTCCTTGGTTTACTCCTTCCATGGATACCAAGCCATTTCATACTACCAAAGTCTTTGCTCATGACAGAAAATCTTTCTTACTTTTTTCCTCCAGGCTAAGAATAACAAGCTTGAGCATATTTTCTTGTAAACATTCCCCGAACCACAAGGCTCCTAAAGCACCCTGCAAGTACCTCTATTTGTAATTTATGTGATCGTTACATAATCTGTATGTGTTTGCCTCTAATAACCAGTAAGCACCTTGAGGCTAAGAAACTAAAATCAATGGTCACCTAACATTTGACCAGGGAGTCGAGAATGTTCAATAAAAAAAGGATAGCCTCCCTCATAAATGGTGTTGGGAGAGTTGGATAACCACATGCAGAAAAATGAAATTGCACCTCTGTCTTATACCATTCATAAAAATGAACTTGAAACAGATTAAAGATTTGTATTTAAGCCCTGAAAGTCCTAGGGGTGCCTGTGTGGCTCAGTCAGCTAAGCAGCTGACTTTGGCTCAGGTCATGATCTCATGGTCTGTGAGTCTGAGCCCCACATTGGGCTCTGTGCTGACAGCCCAGAGCCTGGAGCCTGTTTCGGATTCTGTGTCTCCCTCTCTCTCTGCACTTCCCCGGCTTGCACTCTGTCTCTCTCTCCGTCTCAAAGATAAATAGACATTAAAAAACAAACAAAAAAAAGACTTGAAACTCCTAGAATAAAACAGAGAAAAAGCTCTTTGACACTGGTCTTGGCAGCAATTTCTTGGATGATAACAAAAGTGTAGGCAACAAAAATAAAAATCAACAAGTGGGACTACATCAAATTACAAAGTGCAGCAAAAAAACCAATCAACAAAATGAAAAGGCAACATATAGAATGGGAAAAAATGTTTTAAATCACTATCTAATAAGGGGTTAATACCCACAATATATAAAGAACTCCTATAACTCAACAGCAAAAAAAAAAAGAAGAAAAAAACAAAAAACCCTAACAGCCCAATTAAAAAATGGGCAGAGGAACTGAATATACAGTTTCCAAAGAAAACATAAAATGATCAATACGTACATGAAAAGTGCTCAATGTCACTAATCATCAGAGAAATGGTAATGAAAACTATAATGAGATACTGCCTCACACATGTTAAAAGGGCGATCATTAAAAAGAAGGTAAGTATTAGCAAGAAGGTGGAGAAAAGGGAATCCTTGTGCAGTGTTGTTGGGTATGTAAACTGGTGCAGCCACTCTGGAAAACAGTATGAAGGTTCCTCCCAAAATGAAAAATGGAACTACCATATGACCCAGCAATCTCATTTCTGGATATATATCTAAAGAAACTGAAGTCGGGACCTCATAGAGACATCTGCACTCCCACCTACCCTGCAGCATTACTCACAGCAGCCAAGGTATGGAAACAACCTAAGTGTCCATCAGTGGATGAATGGATACAGATATGGGGTTTATACACACACATGTGCGTGCACGCACACGTACACGTACACACAAATGGAATACTATTCAGGCCCAAGAAAGAAGGAAATTCAGCCATTTGTGACAACTTGGATGAGACCTGAAGACATTATGCTAAGTGAAATAAAACACAGAAAGACAAATACCATATTATTTCACTTATATGTAGAAATCAAGAGTCAATCTCAGAGGACAGGTGTGGTTACTAAGACTTGGGAGTTGAGGAAAATGAGGGAATCCTGAATGAAGGGTATATACTTTCAGTTGTAAGACTGAACAAGCTGTCATCTAATGTACAACATGGTA